CATACAACTGCACACACACACACGCTGCATTGCATTGTGGAGCAGTGCATTGCAAACAAAAAAAGAAAATCCAACAACAATAACAAAACGAAGACATCATGCAATTTTGTATGAAAGTTATTGGCAGTCTTTGAACAATAACAGAAAAACAACAACAGCAACGGGAGAAACCAATACGAACCACCCACCCCCTTCCCCTCATTTTGCATTCGTAGCCTGGCAAGCCAAACCAGCCGCCGCCACCTACAACACATTACATTTGCATACCGTTGTGTGATATATCAACAACATCAATAATACGAGCAAGCAACAGCAAGCATTCATTGTTGTTGGTATTGTTAAAGAATAGCATCATAACAACAATAACAACTACATTGGAGGAGTATAGTGTGTGAGGAAACGAACCCCCACCATTAACCGAGTAGTGTAGTGAGAGAGTCGTTACAGTTAAAACACGAGCATGCTGTTACATTGGGTCACTCGTCGCCTATTCAACTAACTCTGTCTCTCTCTCCCCATTAAAACATAACAAATAAACAAATCAAGCAACGACAGGCTCCATTCACCTAATTTACAACTAGGTGAGATGCCAAACAGAGCCGGAGAGAGAGAGCGAGAGTGAGAGTGTAACAGAACAGTAATTTAAATAAGTTTGTAATAATCAAGTGGCCGAGTAAAAAGACATACAACAAATGGTCGAGTGAGTGCGCAAAAGAAAGATATAGAGAGAAGGAGAGTGTGTGTGCCTGTGTGTATGTTACAATTACTGCAAACAAGCCATTACAAACCAAAGTAAATCAAAGTGTCTCGTGCATATTTAGTCTTCTTAAGGTTGTTGTGTTAATTAGCAGACAGCTGGCAAATTATTTACAACTGAAATTAAATGAATTTTTCGTGTGTTTAAATAAAATAAAAAATACAAAAATTAAAGAAAATACAAAAACAAATCAAAATACAATAACCAAAAAATTAAAACGGCTAAAAAATAAACAAAGAAAAATGTGACTTTATAAAAAAAAATAAAAACAAAAGTAAAGAAAATAACGCAATTTAAAATTAAAAAAGAAATACAAAAAAGAAAACACAAAAATTAGTTTCTTTTCAAATAAAAGTGCAGTGAAGAAAAAAGTGTTTACCAAAAATGCACGGCATTACCCATTTATATCGTCAGCATGCCATTGAAAAACAATTAAGCTCTGAGGCATGGCAAAATGGTGTAACTGGCGGTGGTGCTGGTCATCACCATCATCATCATCATTTGCATCATCAACATACGTCATATGGACGTAGTTATAGCCGTGACAGTGATACCTCATCATTGTTTAATAACAGCATTGGTGGTGGTGGTGGTTCCAATACCAGTGGCAATACCACAGAATATTCATTGAAAAATGGTGCCAATCACTCAAGTTCCAGTTCAAATTCATCAACAAATTCAAAATCACCAACTTCGTCACAGGGTAAGAAAAGGGGTGAAATAAAGTGGAATTGATTTCTTGGATACAGGAAGAACAAGTTAGAAAGATATTTCTTGGAATTGGAAGGATAGACCGTTCTTTAAGAGAGAATATACGATCTTCTAAGTGTAATGAGGACGTCTAATGGTCCTCTATTAGAGGTTCTTGCAGGTCTCTATAGAAAGTGAAAGTCCGAATATAATTTCAATGGGTAAATGAGGGCGTCTAATGGTCCTCTATTAAAGATTCTTACAGGTCTCTATAGAAAGTGGAAGTCCGAATAGAATTTCAATGGGCAACAAAAAACATTTGAAAGTCTTTTATGAATAGAATCCTGAGAGCTTCATAGGTCTATTTTAGATCCTAGAAGGTCTAGTTTAGGCCCTAGAAGGGCTGTAAAAGTCTTCCAAAGATCCTTGGTAGCCTTCACCGGTATAAACTGAGTCTTAGGAGGTGTTCATAGCTATGCTATATGCAATGGAAGATTCTTTTAGGTTTCTTTTGTCGGTATGAGACCTTTACAGAGCATCCCTTTGGTAATATAAGACATTTATAGGTCTTTATGCAATTGAGAGCGACTGATGCTTCTCGATGAAAAAAGCGAGCTTTAAATGGTTATTAATGGGAAACTAAATGCATGAACAGGTCCCCTATGGTAAATCTAAGATCTTTCCAGGGGTTATATGGGCATTCAAAGGTCTTAACAGGTCTCTTTTGGAAAGTAGAATACCATTGTTTGTCTTATATTTTCACTAGAAGGCTTTTCCAGGACATTCCCTTGTGCTTAACAGCTCTAACACATCTTCGGTTCACCTTAGAGGTCCTCACAGGTGTGCAGTATGGTATATAAGTCACCAGCGGGTCTTCCAGTATCACAGAAAGTATCCAGTATCTTCATCTGCTCTTCTGAGGAGTATATGAATCTCCATTTAGTCTTATACAGCCTTAGAAGCGTTCAACACGTTCGGTGACCAATAGAAGCGCTCAGTAGCCCCTCTATTGTCAAATTAATCTTGAAGAAGTTCTACAAAAGTCCTCTATAGTGAACTGACGTCCTCAGCAGATCTTTGGATACCAATAAAAGCCTTTAGAAGGTCTTATATTGTCTTCGAATTAAAGAGCAGGCGTTTTAAAGTCATTAGAAGGCTTCAGGATGTCTTATACTACCTCCGAAGGTACTCTATGAACAATATACGACTTCAGAAGATCTTTTGTAGCCTCAGAAATCCACAGCAAGTCGTCTGTGACAAATAGTAATCATCTGTAGGCCTTCTGAGCCCATATAAGTCATCATGACTTCCCAATAGCCCAAAGAAGGACTCACCAGGTCTTAATATGGTTTTCTGTTGACACTGAAATCTTATCAGGTCATATATTACTTTGGAAGTCCCCAGCCAGACTTTTGAAACAGCAGAGGTCCTCAACTGACTTCGAAGCCAATTTGTATCTTGAGCAATCCTTCGAAGGCTATCATCCATTCTTCTGTAGTCAAGGGACACTTCAAAAATCTTCAGTAGGCCCTCTTTTGCTTTCGAAGGCCTAAAAAGATACTCAGTTGCCAATAGAAATACTTAGCGGGTCTTCTGACGCCAATAGAAATCCACAAAATGTCTTTTGAGGTCCATAAATGGCTTCAGCAGGTGTGCGATGTTCAGTAGAAGTCTTCAGAAGTTTTTCTCTGGTCACTGAAGTCTTCCGCATGTCTTCTATTGCATTCATATTTGGTGTGAAGCTTTCAATCGCCAATAGATCTTCTCAAGAATTCTTCAATAGTCTGTAGATGTCCTACGAAGTTCTACTATTGCCAAATAAATTTTCAATTGATTTTTTCGAGTACCGCAAACGTCTTCATCTGGCCTTCGAATGTTATTGCAAAATTTAGTAGCTTCTTTGTTGTCTTCGAAAATCTCAGGAGTCCCTTTATGACCAGAAGAAGTCTGCGGTCTATCTTATATTGCACAAAAAGTCCTCCGCTGGTCTTGTATAGTCAAAAATTACTCAGCAAAACTTTTATTGACTTCGAAGTATTCAACTGGTCTTCTGAGGTCAATAGAAGTTTTCCCGGTATTCCATAACCGTTAAAGTTCTCATCAAACCTTTAATAGACACTAGAAGTTCTCCGCCGTTCTTCTGACACCTGCAGCAAGCTTTCTATTGCCTTCAAAAGACCTCAGTCGATTTTCTGGGTATAAAATAAGTTTTCACCGTGTCTTCTGTATGTTAATGGCCAGTTCTACTCACAGAAATATTCAGCAGAACTTCTGAGTTCAATTGAGGTCTTGTATCCTCTTATATAGCCACAGAAATCATCATCTGCCTATTTTCCCGGAACTACTCTTTCCAATTCCAAGAAATATCTAAACAAACAAATTCGAAACCTTCTACCCTAAACCTACGTTTAATTTCTTCACCTTCAGAAAAAGTTCCCGACAATTGGTCGAATTTGCATTCTAGTCCACAGCCGGTACCCGATACACAAAAATCCATCAGCAATCATTATCGGAATTCGCCCACGCATAATGGTTGTTCACGCAGTTCCTATGACAATTACAGTAGTAGTAGTTTTAAGCGTACCCCATCATCGAAGCGTTCCATATTTGATCGGGCCCATAGTCCTGCCGTTTACAGTGTAAGTTAACGGAAACTTAAATAAAAAATACAGCCATTATTAATCATACTTCTTTAGAGCCTTCGCAATAAATCCTCCATGGGTGATTACAATAATTCCCCACCACCTGCCACCGGGGGCTATTTCCCGCATGATCTTGATGACATCTATGAGGGACAAAATGATCATCAGTATTTCACGTATTCGGGTGCCTCTAGCCATCAACGGAATCAAGAGAGGCCCAGCATAAATTCCATTTTCCATCGAGTGGGGGCAGCTCCATCCTTAGATGAATATGCCACCAGCCCGAATCATCATTCGCTGGATGGCGGGGTGTCTCATTTGCGTCATCATCGTTTCGACAACTCCAGCTTTGTACGATCCATAAGTATTAATGAAGACGATGCAGAATCGACATCCTCACCCAAAGAACACCACAAACATCATAAACACAAGGATCACCATCATCATTCGATACAGGAAATGCTGAAGCATTTCGGTAAGAAGGTCCATATTTGGCCACGCAAATCGCACGATAATGCTGCCAAAAGTGTCTGCACCTCACCGCAAAATGATCCACAGGAAAATTTCCGTTCCCGTTCAAAAAGTTTAGATGTAAACACCTTGCGTCGGCCCAATCGGATATTGGAAGATTGTGGCGCCACCTATAAGATATATGAGAAGATCTTGAAAGAAGGTAATAACAAAGGTAAAGAAAAGAAAGAACTCTCCGTCTGTTCCTCCTCCTCTGGATGTTGTGTGTAACTGAAAAAAATAGATTTGGTACTTGCTTTTATTTTGGCTTATTTCTTATTTTCGTAGTTCTTTCTTTGTTTCCTTTTTCTCTTGAGTTTTTTCTTTCTTATATTCTTCTTTGTAAGCAATTCCGTATTTTTTTATTAACGAACTTCTGCTTTTTCTTAACCTTCCCTTAGGTGCTCATATGCGTCGTGCTTCTGCCGACCTAGAGAAACGTCGTGCTTCCGTTGGTGCTGCTAGTCGAGGCTTACGTGGTGATGGCACCCTTGATCCACATCATGCTGCAATATTGTTTAGAGATTCAAGAGGGGTAAGTAAAAAAAAGAATTTCTATTTCTATTTCCAACGAAGTCCTCATCAGAAGATCTGTTATCATGAAAGTCTTAACGTAACGAACATGACTTTCGTATAATAAATATAGTGAATGTCTTGCTGCGGGTCTCTTGTGTAAAGGAGAGAATATTTAGTTAAACACGGATCTATTATTGTATACAGTCCACTTAAGATAAGAGATTTGTCTTGTTGAATGTTTGTACACTAGTATAAGATATGAGTTTTCTATTGCCACATGTGGTATGTTTGAGTGAGATTACGGGGAGCAATCGTTCCACGGAGTTATATTACCGTTAAATTGCTTCAAAAGACCTTCTGAGCCCAAAATAAGTTTTCAGCATTTCTGATATTACCATTGAAAACTTCATAAGGTCTTCTTAAGTAACAAATATATTCATGAGGTCTTCTGGATATCACTGAACGTCATCATCTGCTCCTAAATGGCTAATAGAAATCTTCAGTAGTTCTTTTATGAAAAATTTAAATCCCCAACTGGCAGAAGTCTTTAGCAGGGCTTCTCAATAGCCTTAAAAGATCTAAAAAGTTACTCGATTTCCTTAGAAGTCCTCAGGGGATTTTCAAAAGTAGATACTAACCATCAGCAGGGTTCCGATGGCTAAAAGAACCCTTTAACAGGCTTTTATGTTGCCTTTAAAGACCTCAGGAGGTATTTTGATGTCAATAGCATTATTCAACAAGACTTCAGTCGCATTCCAAAGGCATGGAAATCCTCTGGAGGCCGTGGTCTTCAGGAGGTCTTCTTTGGCTCATATATGTCTTTAGCAGGTCCTCAATCGGCAATACAATTTTTCTGCAAGTATTATATTTCCTTGAAAGTTCTCTGCATGTCTTTAAAGTCCTCTGCAAGACTTCTAATGCATTCGAAGTCCTCAGCAGGTCCTCTTAGCCTCATAGTAGATGACTTTCAATCGGCAATATAATTGTTCAGCAAACCTTTTATTGTCTTAAAATCTTTCTTTAGGTCTTATAATGCCTTCGAGATCATTAGTAGGTCTTCTTTTGCAACATCATTTCTCTGCAGGACAATATAATAATTCAGAAGCCCATTTATTGTCAATGAAATCATCACTAGGTCTTTCATAAGCGCAGAAAGCTTTAGAAAGTATTTAACAGCCAACATAAGTTGTCTTCAAAGTCCTCAGCAGGTCTTTTGAGGCCAATAGAAGTATTCAGCAGGATTTCAATCGCGTTCTATAGACACATAAATTCTCAACAGGAATTTTATTAACTACGAAGTCCTCAGCATGTCTCCTGACTCATCATCAAAGTCTTCAGTAGGCCTTCAATCAGCAATAAAAATGTTCGGCATATTTCTTTAGAAGTTCTATGTAGATCTTCTAATGACTTCGAAGGCTTCAGTAGGTTTTTTGAGGTTCATAGAAGTCTTCAGCCGAAATTCAATTGACGATATAATTGTTAAGTAAATTTTTATTACCTTAGAAGTTCTCTCTAGGTCTTATGTTGATTGCTCCGTCCGCAGCAGATCTTTAAGGAGTATTCAAGGTCAATAGGAGTATTCTGTAGAACTACAATCGTCTTCCATAGACATAAAAATCGTCAGTAGGCCTTCTATTAACTTGTAAATCCTCAGCAAGTTTTCATAAGCCTTCAGGAGGTCTTCTAATGCCTTCAAAGTCTTCAGCTGGTCTTCTTAGACTTCAGCTGAGCTTCAATCAGAAAAGACCTTCTTTAGACAACCGCTGTCCGCTCGAGGACTTTCAACAGTTCTGTGTTGGTCTTCTTTAGACGCCAAAACCTATTGATGCCTCAGAGAACATCCAAAACATTTTTAGACCCCAAAAGTCTTACAATAGATATCCACAGGTCATATAGCCCACCAACTTAAGACCTTTTATAGGGTCTCCAATACACCTTGGAAGTCATATGCAGGCTTTCAAATGACTTTAGAGGAAAATTCTTTCAGAACATTACATTTTGAAGATCTGTTAAAAGCCATTTGAAGGCCTAATAGAAAAAAATGGGTTTTCACAGACCATTTCAAGCCTTAAACCCCATGTGATGACTTTGAATCATATATGGGACCTTGAATCGACCTCAGAAAACTCGGTAAGGCCATCCATCGATCATAGAACACCTCTAGATGTCTTTTATATACCACAGACCTAGATGTGACCATAATCGACACGTTAAGAAAACCTGCTGAGGTGTGTTTTAATATGTTTCAAAAGACATCTGAAGGCCATCCATTGACCATAAAAGCATTAGATTTTATTTTTAAAAGGTTACAGGAGACTGTGAAGAGCATTCCATTTTGAGGACTTTTTTTTCATCAAGATACGACTTGTGAAGGCTTTCCATGTGCCATGGAATACCTGTAGATTTCTTTTAAATACCATATAACATGATTTGGCCACGGAGAATCAGTTAAGACAACCTGCTGAGGTCTCTTATTACGTTTTTTTAATGTTCACGGGAATTTTCCTGAGCCTAGAAGACCTGCATTGTAGGATTTCTATCAATATACGATGTTCAGTATGTCTATGTATGTCTTTCCCGTCGTAACAATAGATCTTCTATGTCCTTCTATTAGTAATTGGAAACCAGTTATGGTCCTCTATTAACTTCTGGTCGCAGATCAAATATGATTTTGTGGTACTTGTCTATAAACAAATTAAGTTTTATCATCGAAAAAATGCTTCTGGAAATATTCCATTTTCCATAGTAAATGATTTGGTTATAATCGATCTGTTAAGACAATCTGCTGAGGACTTTTAATAACCCTCCGAATACATCTGCAGCGTTTGAATTCCTTTATAGAATTAGGTTACAGAAGACCTATGAGCAGCATTACACCTTTAATACAACTGATACAACTTCTAAAGGTCTTCCATGGACCATAGAATACCTTTAAATGTCTTTTAAATAAGATAGAACATGATATTTTATTGTGCTCACAGGAGTCTTCCTAACCCTAAAAGGGTTAGGTTTTCCGTAAATCTAGGGGAATATGTCGATCTGCATTAGAAGATCTGGTAAGGTCTTCCATTGGAAATAGAAGAGTTTCTATGGCCTTCTATTTGTAATGGGAAACCTGCTATGAACCTCTATTGCCTTCTGGTCGCTGGTCACATATTATCCGGCCTTAATCATAATAAATAGATTCACATCTTTCAAAAATTACAATCCTAACAAATTCACCTCCTCCGAGGTGTCATTTCTATTTTTCCCTACGGCAAATTTGTTTTCACAATAACTATGCATTATTGCGTAATAATTCATCTCTTTTTCCCCCAAGATGATTTGTGTCCTTGATAAATCGACATTTAATAATTATTGTGTAATTATTTGTCCTTGATAAATAAATATCCTCTTATAATCCTCATTAATATACCTTCCTTTTCATTTATATTAAAAATTACTAAACAACATCCTCAATAATTACGCGCCTTTTTTATTTTGTTTCGCCCACCCACAACTATCCTCCCTCTACTCTAAAGCATTTAATGAGAAATTATCTCATTGAGAAAGATAAGCCAACCATTGAGACGAAAAAAACTAACCTTGAAATATGTTTTTTGTTTTGTTATTAAAATATGAAATGCATTTCTCCTCTTCTCACTCGGACTCTGTCTCTCACCCATATAACTGTTATGTTGCAAAACAATGCATTACCATGAACTCTCAGTCGCCACCGCCGTCACCGCTTCACCTGACCTTGTTGAACAATCAAATAATAATTGAAGCGAAATGTTGTCTACGCCTACACACACACTATCAATACTACAAAAATCATAGATATGTATGTTGTTGTTGCATTTATCTTCTTTTTCAATGAATGAACGAATAAACCGATGACATTTCACCGTTAGTAGCAGCAGCAACAACAACAATTCGTTTCATTCATGCAATAACATGCAAATATGGCAAGTGATAAATAAAGCTCTCACTGCAATTGACATTTTACTGTTAGACGAAAGTTAACATATCGGTGTTGATAACATAACGGTGTGACGGCGTCGGCCTGTGCGTTAACATTGCTGTGCTGTGATTTCTAATTAAATAACAGAGTTTTCTTCGTTGACATATAGATGGCGCCACGTTGGATTATTTTTATAATTAATATATGAGGGAAATGTTATCAGAATTTGGTAGATAAATTGACTGTTGGAATTTAAATGTTAACAGTGGGTTTATATTTTTAAGGAGTAATTGCTAAAAAAAATATTTAAAAAAAATTAATTTATTTAAATAATTTAACAAATGAAAATACAAAAATTGATCCGATATTTAAAAATTTAACACAAAGAAGAAAAATAAAATAAAAACATAATAAAACAGCTATTTATTACGATACAGGTATTTTTGCCGAACACAGAGCATACAATAAAAAAGAAGCGCATTTCATAAAACAGACACAGAAAGTCTTCAACAGCCAATATAAGTTCCTAACAGGTATTATATTGTCTTCGCTGGTCGCTGTAGGTCTTCTGTTGTCTTCCAAATCCGCAGCTAGCCTTTTGAGGTCAAAAGCAAGTATTCGGAAGAACTTCAATCCCTTCCATAGGTACAGAAATCCTATCCTATTAACATCGATGTCCTCAGCAGGTATTCGGAGGCACATAGTGGTCTTCATCCGGTCACCATTCGACAATGGAGTTATAAATCAGGCCTCCTATTGCCAGACAAATGTTCGGTAGGTCTTATTTTTCCTTAAATGGTAGGTTAGATTATCGTTGCAGATCTTCTGTTTCCTTCCAAATCCGCAGCAAGTTTTTTGAGGTCAAGTAAAAAGTAGTTAGCAGGACTTTCAGAGGCACACAAATCTTCAGCAGGTCTTATATGAACTTCGAAGAAAAATAATTGCTGAAATTAAGAAGCCTTTTATGGCCATGAAAAGATCTATTACGACTTCCTATAGACCAGGTAAAATTTCTGAAGAAATAGAGGAAAATAGTACTTCTATAGACCGTAGAAGACCTTTATTGAATTTCAATA